GATTTATACCACCTATTTATGGTGATTTGCAGGATGGTTTATTCTTGTTGTTGGCATAGTTGGGTTGCACCACAGGACTACAGTAGATGACTGATATCGTCCTGCAGAATTGGGGCCGTTGGATCTGCAAGTTGAGTCCACGATAGCATCCACGATCGATGTAAATCTTGGAAACCTGTGAACTGTAAGAGAATTAAACCTCATCCACAGCATCCTGAAAGAAATTATCTCTACATTTTTAATGTTCCTAAATGGATCTGCCCATCCCAGTTGGTATATGGTTGACACCACTGGTACAATCCATGCTCACTGGGATAAACTGTTGGTGATCTGCGGGCTATGTTCAATCCACTTCCCGTACTCCTAAACAGCCAAACAAAACCCTGATATTGTTTAGTTTGGGATCTATTCGTTTTAAAGGCCCATTTGGCGTGGACTTCAATATTAGCTGAAAACGGCCATATCAATTTGTAGTTTGGTCATACCACACCCAATGAAGTAATACATTGTGAATCATTAAAGGCCTATAATTGCATAGCGACCAACCACTTATTTCGATTGTACAGTTGTACCCCCATTCTTCCTGTAACGGTTAGTAATCCTGGTTAAGAAACCCGCTGCTTGTAACCCGACTTACTAGCCCGGTACTGTGGTAAGCCCGAAAATAAAACCGTCGTATCCATCCGTATCCCGCATGATAATCAATAATAAACAAGCCTATGGCCAAAAAAAGTGGAACTATAGTGCAAATCATCCCCCCCAACAAAAAAAATCAAGTAATAATCAAATCCCCAATGCCATAGTCACCTCCCACAGTTTGCGATGGTGACTATGACCCTTCGGTTTACCACAGTGGCACCTGCCACAGCTGAGAAGAATCTCTCCAGCCGCCGTGCGGATGTGGCCGTTGGGATCCGAGAGCTGTGGAACGATGTGAATCTGGCGACGTCGCTGGAGGAAGGGAAAATGTACCCTCTTGTCATTTCACATAGCTATGTAAGATCACCAGGTTCAATGGGTAAATCATGCTAAATCATCTATAAATGGGCAATTCTCCATAGTTATTGTTGTTTTAATTGCCAGGGGGTGCAGCCTTGAAACCTGGCGTTTTTGGGGTACTAACACAGGCCAAGAAGATGTGTGGGTCAAACTTGGGTATGAAAGAAACTGTGGGATAGTTCTCGATGGTTTATGTACTGTTAACCGGTGTGAATGTTACCCCCGATTGATTGCTGCTCAGCAGATTTTGATCGGTTGCTCTTCGGCAAATGTTGGTGCCTCGACATCTGGTTCCTTCATCGACATCTTCTGCAAGGCGCGCAAAGCAAGCAGCCGTACGTTCTCAAAACCATCCTCAGTTGCGACCAAAAAAGTTACAAAATGGCACGATACTTGCAGAAAATGTATTGATTATGTTACTATATGGTAAAGATAGGTTGTCTTCTGGTTGAGGCAAACCGTTTCAGGATCTTCAGGGCACTTAAAAGAGCGGGAAAGTGAGGGATTGATGCAAAATGTACTGTGGATGTTCCGGTAATAAAATGCAAAAATAAAAATTAATTATATAGTTAATTCATATATTAATATTTAATAACATATTATACGGTACATGTGCTGCCACTAAAGATTATTTTTACATGTTTTTACGTTCTTCCTGTGTGGATTATCTGGATTATGGAGTCGCTCAAGTTATATTGCGGTTCTTGGCTTAATCACAATCCGTTTGTTTGTTGCCAACACTTCCTTCTACCAGTATCCCCCCATGAATACATCCCCATATCATCGGACATATAGGGTCAGAATCCGTGGAATCTGTGGCTGAATTCCCTTGAATAGCTGGTGAATGTTCATCCTCCCAAAAGATATCCCCACCAACTGATTTTCTATCTGACACATATTCTGACGTTTTTTTTTTGGCATTCTATCTGACATAGATTCCGACATTCTATCTGGCATTCTTTCTGGCATATACGGTATATTCTGACATTCCATCTGGCATTCTATCTCGCATTCTGTTTGGCATTTTATCTGATATATGCTCTATTATACTCTGACATTCTATCTGGCATTCTATCTGACGTATAAGACGTATATTCCTACATTCTTTCTGGCCTTCTTTGTGGCATTCTATCTGACATCCGGGGCTGGCGCTCCCAAGTGAGGTCCGGCAGTGCCCACTGAGATCTGGCGCTCGCGGTTGAGTTCCGGCAGTGCCCACTGACATCTGGCGCTCGCGGTTGAGGTCCTGCAGTGCCCACTGAGATCTGGCGCTCGCGGTTGAAGTCTGGCAGTGCCCACTGAGATCTGGCGCTCGCAGTTGAGGTCCGGGAGTGCCCACTGAGATCTGGCGCTCGCGGTTGAAGTCTGGCAGTGCCCACTGAGATCTGGCGCTCGCAGTTGAGGTCCGGGAGTGCCCACTGAGATCTGGACTTCGCGTTTGAGGGCGGAGTCCGAGGAACTATTCATAACTTGAGGCATGAAAAATACCCCTATCCCATCGATAGGCCCTGGGTTATCATAATCCCAGCCTTGCTAGCAGAACTCCCAATAATAACCAATCAACCTGGGTATTTTTCCCGGCTCCAGTGGCTCGGTCCGGATCTTGCAACATCGATGTGAAAAGATCAGCACGACCTCACTGGCCGCAGTGGGTGGTTCCTTCTTCGATGTGCAGGTCCCACTTAGGATCCGTGGTTTATAAACCATTCACTATGCGGGATGCACCCCCAGGGTTGGGGATCAGGTCAATATCTGGATGACATATTGGTTGAAATTATGGTTGATTATGGTTGATAATATACTTCGTAGTAGGGGTGATACCCCCAAGAGTCATGAACTACTACTATAACACCAAATGAACATAGATCCAAATAGGGGGTTGGAAGATTACTGTCCGCTCAGAACTGGCTATTTTCGGCTTAAATGGCTAACCCCATACGCTTGCCATGGTCCAAACAGGGCATCCCACGTGACCAGTATCGTCATCCCAGGATTGCGTGGACATGCGTGGACCAACCATGGTGAGGTCCGCCACTGGACAAGCCCATGAGGTCGCAATTCCCATCTTTTCACATGAAATTTATCGACGTAAATGGGGGCTATGTTAAACGATAGAGTATTCTCGAGGCAAACTGGTTAGATTTCAAGAGGATACTTGAAATGAGATGTGTCTATAGTCTATGCTGCATTCTATGTCAAATTAGGATAAACCCATCCCAAATTACAGTCCTACACAGGAATTCGTTGGGACGACATTACTCGGGGTAATATTCTTCCTCTGGGATTCCCTGAACTCAAAAAATAGGGTACCCCCAAATCCAGTGTCGCATCAGCATTTCCCCCATGCTAGTTTAATAGCCTCATTTCTGGGCAAATCAAAATGTTGATTACGGCAAACATACCACAGTCACTTTCATTCTTTTGAGACAACTCAATTTATCTGGCTGAATCAAGCATCACCCACATGAAATAAGGTCATGTTGGGAGGATCGCCCTTACTTGCCATGTTTATGGTCACGTTTTTACACGGTTTTGATAGTCTACCCAAATATCTACAGTGACCAGATTTACCTCCCCCAAAGAAAAACTCATAGTGGAACCATATTTTGCCAGATGCACATTCAATCATTCGACTCCAACATGACCCAACCAACAAATCCCATGGCAGCCATGGCAGCCATGGCAGCCATGGCAGCCATGGCACCAGCATCTGCGGCTGCCAACGCTTGTACTGCTGCGCGTCTTAGCCGCGTCTCGGCGGAAGTCAGATAGCTCTGCACGCGCTTCAGCCCGGAGCTTTCACCTGGGTAGGTGGTTTCAAACGTTTCAAACCATCCCAAAAATAGCACAGTCAATTTGGATAATCCCAAATAGGTTGGAAAAAATGGAAACCGCCAACCAGTATTAAGTTATGTTTTAAACGAAGCTAATAATGCAATGTTTCATGATGATTCTCAGTCTCTTAACAAACCCATATTTAAAGGCAAGTTTTAGATTAAAACCCAAAATGGTAGTGGTGTTCTCAATTGTGATTGTGATGACTGGTCTGATTGTTATGACACCAACATAAACCATCCGTTTTGGGTTCCCACAACAGACAATGACCTATTCCCAGTGGAAGTGTATCGTACCTTGGCTCAGGGCAGCCAGGAGCTTCAAGGCCAGTACAGGCTGGTCATGAAGCCTTAGCGGATGGGTTATGATGGGAAAGTCTTCACCGGAAACCCTTTTTTCTTCTACGAATTGTATGGTGTTTTCTTTTGTAACTTTTACGATCATCTACTTGTTGGGAAAATTGGGAAGCTCGTAAGTGTATGTATATGTATATGTGTATATGTGTATATGTGTATATTGTGTATATTGTGTATATTGTGTATATTGTGTATATTGTGTATATTGTGTATATTGTGTATATTGTGTATATTGTGTATATTGTGTATGTATGTATGTATGTATGTATGTATGTATGTATGTATGTACGTATGTACGTATGTACGTATGTACGTATGTACGTATGTACGTATGTAATGTAATGTAATGTAATGTAATGTAATGTAATGTAATGTAATGTAATGTAATGTAATGTATGAATGTATGTATGTATGTATGTATGTGTATGTATGTATGTATGTATGTATGTATGTATGTATGTATGTATGTATGTAATATGTAAATGATATATATATATATATATATGATATGTATATGATATGTATATGATATGTATATGATATGTAAATAATATGTATATAATATGTATATAATATGTGTATAATATGTGTATAATATGTATATAATATGTATTTAATATGTATATAATATGTATATAATATGTGTATAATATGTGTATAATATGTATATAATATGTATATAATATGTATATAATATGTATATAATATGTATATAATATGTATATAATATGTATTTGATATGTATATGATATGTATATGATATGTATATGATATGTATATGATATGTATATGATATGTATATAATATGTATATAATATGTATATCATATGTATATAATATGTATACAATATGTATATAATATGTATACAATATGTATATAATATGTGTATAATATGTGTATAATATGTATTTAATATGTATATAATATGTATATATAATATGTGTAAAATATGTGTATAATATGTATATAATATGTATATAATATGTATGTAATATGTATATAATATGTGTATAATATGTGTATAATATGTGTATAATATGTTTATGATATGTATATGATATGTAAATAATATGTATGTAATATGTATATAATATGTATATAATATGTATGTAATATGTATATAATATGTATATAATATGTATATAATATGTAATATCAACGTTCATAAATCAAAAATAGGGTCGGTTGATTTTCTCCAACTTGTAGTCTCTGGCCATCTGGGACCCTGTTGGTTGAATCGGAGAAGTGTAACAACAAAAATATGGAAAAACTTTGATATACACAAGAATAACATTGGCATTTCAGCCATGAAAACGTGGAACATGTAGATGTTGACCGAAGCAATTTTGGGAATTTTGGAATGCTGGAGAAAAAAGCATAACATTAGGATAAAACCTCATCCTAAGCATGAGTATCGAACCACTGGGAATCGCCCTTTCATATTTCTTGAGGGATCCAGCCATTGCAGCCATTGCCAGGTGAGGGTCAAACTCCTCATCAGATCCTGATCCCCTCATCCCGATGGATGGACAACTCACTGGATAGCTACTATTACACTTATTATCTAGGCTATTATAACCATGCCAAATAGTATCTATTGTATATACTTGGCATAAACTAATCAGAAACCATCATACACCTTCAACAACCCAAAGTTATAGAATACTATAGTTATATCATTAGTTATATATGAATATAATAAGTATACATGATATAACTAGACTATATATATATATTCAGCATCAAGCATCATTAAAACCATCATCAAACCTACAAAAATGCCACCCAGCGGCATCCCTTCCGCCGCCTCCAGCACCTCCGGATCTCCCTCGGCGGCGACTTGAAGGATCACCTCCACCGCCGAGGCCCGCACGTAGGCATTCACGTCCTGCCCGTTGTTTCAAGCAGTGATTTTCCATGGGATAGCAATGAGGATATCATGGGATGTTTATATATATATATGTAAATGTATATATATATGTATATGTAAATATATATATATATTCATGTATATACATATGTATGTACATATGTATATAGATATATATATATAATTATATATAACCAATTTGATACAAGATGTTGATAGATTTTGGGTGTGTCCGAAAATGGCGGATACCCAAATTTATGCCACTTTTCAAGGGAAAATAAGGATAAACCATTGGATACTGACTACCGTATTTTTGGACGAACTCAAATTGTATCTCCCAAGCTCATCGCGTTAATCATATCCAAATCCATCCCATGTTTGCTTCGGCTTGGTTTGATTGGTTATTGGGCTACGTTTGGCCAGAAGTGGAGAAAAAACAGCATCCTGATTACAGTAAGGTTTGGAATCTTTTAGAGGGTATCTAAGGTTACTTTGGCATGCAAATGCGACGGGGATACAGTTTGGAGGGTATGACACGGCCTTGCCCAAGACAGCGAACATCCTGACATCATCCAGGGTTGCAACTGGGGCCAAGAAAAAAAGTCAGAAAGCCAGCAAAACTGCCGTGCTAGCTGCCAGTTGAAGGAACCGATCATGAATGCATCCATGTTCTTAGTTCCGTCCGAGTTTTGCCGCAGGTTTCCAATGTGTCTTAGTTAGAGTCCAAGTCGTTCCCATATGCCAATGTTTTTTGGGGCAGGTTGTTTCCCATCTTTTTTCTTGTGTGAGAATCTCTCCATCCCACGGAGCCTCTGGAGAAAATTCCATCCAATTAATGGTTAATAATGGTTTAATTATAGTGGCTAATAGTGATTAATGATGGTTATAACTGGTGATTTCTATAGGATTATATATATAATATACATATCCAATTCCACTTGTTTGTCAACTCGGGGGGACGCATTCCTTGGACTGATCCCTCTCATCATAAACGACCATAAAGTCACATGGCGAAATCCAACATGGATCGCAGGTCCGACAAGCCATCTGTGGAGACTATTTTTATAGCACCGCTTGACGCTTGACCCCCCGTTTCTCACACTGCTTTGAGTGAGTGGAACACAATCCCACTTGTTGGTTTTTGAATTACAATGTAGGATTTGTTTCTCTGGATAACCCATGATACCTCTAACAAACCTACGTGGTATTGTGTATTTTATGGTACGTATATGATCATATATGTCATGTAAATACCAGATTATTTTTTTCTGGATAAACTACAATCTTTGACCTCTCTACCACCACGTTTGTTGCTTAAATCACACGTTGTTTGATAAAAATCCCGTTCAATCACTTGAATTCCCCTGAAATCATATCTAAATTCACCATTAAATCACCATGTTTGTTGATTTTCTATGGTTGTGACCCTTAAAAAAGACAAGTTTTTTCCATTGTTTTTCTCCATGTCCAGCAGCGTCCCCCCTTCCATTCCCAGATCCTCCAAGCATTTCAGCGCCGCGTCGCGTGCCGCCGGATGTCCCCGCAGCCTTCGAAGCTCCTGCAGGGCCTCTGCGCGGGCGCAGGAGCCGGAGCCTGCAGGCGCTCTTGGACCATGGTTTTTGGAGGGTTCAACCATGAAAAATCCACAAAAATTCGGATTTCATGGGGAATTTTAGAGGATTTTCCATGGATTTCAATGATTTCACAAAAATTGAATGAGGAAAAAATGTAAAACATTTGGATTTCATGGTGATTTGTTTTTTTCAATTTTACAGTAATGAGGATATGAATGAATATAATTGAATATAAAATATACCCAACAATGTGTTTTCCGAAGGTTCAATCATCAACTTCATGGGATCTAATGGGATATGAATGGGTGAAAGCGGATCGGGGATGTTTTTCATTCCTGAGGATGATCTGAGAAAATCATAGTTATCCACTGGATTTTGATGTGGCCTGTTAACAAACCCAGATTGCAAGGGGAATTGGATTAAAATTCAGAGACTCTTGCAAAGTAAACAAGTTTCCTTTTGTGGATTCATGAAGTGGAGTTCAACATTAGATTGCTCAGCGACATCATCCAATTAAGTTCGAACCAGCTTTATTGAAGGTCAATTGTCATTGGGGGTCCCTGCTTGGGCCAACAATATATTTGCCATGTTCAGTTTTAGAATCGGAAACCAACCGTCTTTGGGTGTCTATAATTTCGTTGGAGAGAGGAAAATAGATGGCTGACTTAGATATGAAATACCAAGAAGAAAACCAGATTCAGCTGGGTGGCTATAAGCCTAAAAAAATCTAAATAGGCGTACGGCATTTTGTTGAAGGTTTCCCGAAATTATCCAGATGAAAAAGGATGTTCTCCATCCCCCACTGGGGATACAAGAATTGTCATGAAGTGTATCCAGGATATGAGGGTGATAGGATTCTTCATAACAACTGGGGATGGTTCAACCGTTGTCTCTTGGAGCATCACATTGTCACTGTGGGGTCAAATCCAAAGAAGGACTCCCAGTTATATGTTAACTTGTAAAGTTGGTTTAAAACCCCATCTAAATATAGATACATCCACCATGAATTCTAGTTCGCCTATAGTTCTGTTTACCAACACATATCTACCGTTTCGGGGTGCCTTTTGGATGGGAAACATTGTCAAAGTCAACAAAAAGAACATGACAATTCCCTGTGTCACCAGTCCTTTCAAATTTCGCAATCCAGCAAAAATCTCGGAGACTGCTCTTCTCACTCCCAGATCATCTACTCTTCCTTCCAATGGGATTGGTTCAGCGGAACATCTGCAGAAAGGGATGGTTTTTACCTCTAAATATGGAGTGTTGTGCGACTTTAACTAACGCACTTATAAATGGGAGACAAAGGGGATGTAGCCCAGTTATGCCCAGTCAAAAATGGAGTAACCACTCAGTCAGATGCACAGGGAATCCAAGTAGCCACAGGACCGAGTGACTGTTGAGTTGTAGGCATAGCTTCTGGAGGGAAATCAAACAAAGCAGGTCCTGCAAAGCCAGGAAAGAGCAAGAAACATAAGAAACACTAATTATACTATGTATGTGCGTGTGTATATATATATATATATGGAATTATCATATCTATATGTATACTTATATATATATATATAAATGCCTGAATATACACAATATACGTAATTATACGTATATGTCCCAATTATAAGGAAACCAGTCCAATAAAATAGTCTCAAATTTGGGGAAAACACGCTGAGTGGTCTCCGAGCGTTGGATGATTCGAGCGCGGCAACTCACCAGAGCATCTCTTCGGGTTCCCAGAGGTTGTGTAGCTATGTTTGTAGTTTTGGGAAATCAGCTTGAATGCGCATAATAATAGTCATATATATAATATGTATGTATAATATGTAAATGTATATATATTATATATATAATATGTAAATATATACACATATATTGATTACAAATGCAAAAAAAACGCAGCGAATTACGGTTACTTTTGACACCACCAAGGGTTCATTGGACTCGTTGAAAATTCGAAACGTATCTTCCGAGCATATCCTGATGCAAATCCTTCTCTTGCAAGGCGTAGCTATCCTCACTGCACCAGGGCGCGATGCACGGGAGGCTTGAAAGTTGACAAAACAATGGATTCCCGTAACGTACTCCAGTCGTTGGCACAAGTAGTAATATAAAGCAAAATAAAATGAAACCAGATAATTAATATGATACAGGATAATTCCCTGCCCCTACTCATTAATCTGTTCACTATCCGAGTCTCAACAGGGAGGTTCTTCGGCTGGGACCATATGGCTTTGGCTCAAAAAACGGGTATGTATCGCTACGCAGTGATCCCGATGTATGGATGGGGGGGTATGCATCCCCTGTGCATCCGGGGTATGGATCGGGACTTTACATTTTGAGCTCCAGCCATATCAATGTACAGTGATCCCCTAGACAACCTGCTTCAAGACGCACAAGCTTCAACACAATGTCAGGAAGAAGACACCTCCTGATTTGATGAGGATATGGTGTTGTGTATGGTGTTGTGGCTTTAAGGCGTTTCATTGCCGGGTGAATAAAAGCCCAAACATCACTGAGGCGGGCCACGCGGGTGACTCATCTGAGTTGCAGCCCGGCTTCTGAGTATTCTTCACTTTCCTTCGATGCACGGGATGTCTCAGACTTTAGGTGACCAATTAGTATCTGACATGCACCATACATTGAACTAAACATTTAAGCATGCATTAAGCGTGGATTGATGATACATGTGACCATACATACACTTAACTTTATAATATATATATATATTATACACTGAATACTGAACATATGCCCTTTATCTGACACATATTTACAGCATATGACCTATATTTCACCATTGTGGTTTCAGAACAATAACTCGTCTCTGGAGCTCGGTCATCTTGCTGAAATCAACATTGGAAACTGGTTGGTATACCATGGTATACCATTCATAATCATTTACCTATTGGGGGACGGCCCCTCTATTTTTCATCCATGGGAAAAAGGACATCTGTTTAAGGTTAAAAGGCATCAAATAAAAATTGTGGTCTCCGGCGGTCTCCGGTAGATTTTCCCTTCCAATTCAGATTCCTTGGGTCCTGAGGAAGTTGAAAAACACACAAACCATCTCATTTTGGTAAAGAATTTTGAGAGTTTTCAATTCAGGTCTGCCAAACGGTCAGGTTTCCAGGAAAATCTGCACCTCTCGTGGTAAAATCATGTAAAATCATGTCGATTCTTCCTGGAAGATCAAGTCAGTGGTAAATTCTACATGGGTTTGTCCGAAAATTTTCCAGAATCCCATGGAATTCCATGATCCGTCCCAATTGTTTGCTCAAATTCCTATTGAAATGGCCATATGGTGGAGGATCCTTCATTTCTGTACCACATGGTATGTATACATATATGGGTTTGAAAATGGGCTACCCCTACTAAATCTTCTGGTTGATCATCATTTTCCCTATGAAAAATAGCCATTGAAGGGGATAGATCGACACGTCCAGGCATCGACCATAAATTTGATGGAATCCCCAGGGAGTATCTCCATGTGGCTATAAATCCGATACTGCTTGATGTTCATTTCCTGAAAAATGGAAATAAAGTAGCCCCTATCAATGGGTTGACGACTATACCGTAGCCATGACGGGTTTAATCCAACTCTTGATCGTAGTTGGTCGTATATCTCATGATATCCCCCTTAATCCCTCATTAATTCCCATGTGTCATGCTTAAATCCATCTCTTGATGGCTAAAATCTCACTTTAAGTCACTTTGAACATCCAAGTTGCCATGATGAAAAATCACACTTCTCATGGTTTTCATATGGATCATATCCCTTTTCGATTCCATCGCTCTCTTGCAACGCCAAGCATCTCTCAGAAGCCGTTGGCAGCTGGGTGGGATTCCCCACTTTCCCTCGATGAGCTGCTTCACGTCGAAGATCTTTTGGCCACACATAACATCCTCGGATGGAGCTGGCGCTGGCGGGATTACCGCTGGACCGTGATGAATGGATAAGATAGAATTATGTTGGTCATAAGAAGAAAAACGGGAAAACAATGTATAGTGACAGCGAAATAGTGAATTATGATACTACAGAAAATAGCAATAAGAATAATCATAAGACTGTTATTCATAGGAAAGACGTGGACAAACCGCTTCTTGTCACGGGAAGCTGACGTGAGCCAAACCATTGGGACCGGCAATGGATAAACGATTTAACACATGTGCAGAATTCATTGCTTTGAAGACCTCAAAAAAAATGAATGTATACGGGTGCCTGCATTTTTCTTCAAGCACTTCAAGGAGTACTACACTTTGTGATTAAAGCTCACAGTATTGGTCCTCACATGACTAAAATTGCTTAAAATGGTTTTAAGTGTCAAAATGATATCTAAATGACAATCCAATACAAATCCAAAGAATGCGTGTCTGGTGGTTTCAAGCCATCCCAAAAACCCAAATCCAAGGTGAGTCAGGTGGGATCATCATCGCATGGATGGTGATCCAAAATTGCAACGATGTGTAGATCCCCTGACTTAAAGTACCAGACGAGTTGTGGCTTCAAGATTGTCGACACTGTAAATATGGGATACCCTCTGGTAAACTAACATAACTATGGAAAATCACCATTTTAATGGGAAAACTCACTATAAATGGCCACTTTCAATACCTATGTTAAAATTACCAGAGGGTACCCATGGATACCCCACCTATGGCCATCAAGTACCATCTGGTTATGACTTGATCGGATCCACCATGGAAAGATCCACCCATTTTTAAGTTCGGTAAACCATCTATTTCGATTAGGGCCATCGACAAACCATGGCGAACTGTTAGTCATAACCAGAGGGTAACTGGGAAAATATGAGGTATTAATCCCTTGGGAAAAACTGGGTCCCGGTTTTCCCAATGGATTTGTTCAGACAAAACCATGTTCGCCATTGTCTGAAACCCAGACGGATTATCAATGAATAATCATCATTAATTAAGAACAGCTTATCTGGGTACCACATTAAAAAAGAACCCCCATTGGTACCATATTTCATACTGTTGACTATACATCCCAGTAGGCATCTCCATCAAATCACCCTTCATTCACTATAAAATCCCATTAATGTGGGTAAAACAATAATAAATAATAAACCATCCCCAAAATCATCATTTTTATGGGTGGTATGTTTACCATTTCCAGTCATGGGTGGTAAAAATGGCATTGTTTTAACCATATTATAGTCAATTTTCCAATTATTACTGGGTTTATTAACCACTAGTAACCACTAGTAATCACTATTGACCACTATTGACCATTAGTAAACACTATTAACCACTAGTACCCACTATTAACCACTAGTAACCACTAGTAATCACTATTGACCACTATTGACCACTATTAACCACTAGTAACCAGTATTAACCACTAGTAACCACGACTAACCACTATTAACCACTAGCAACCACTAGTAATCACGATTAACCACTATTAACCACTAGTAATCACTATTAACCACTAGTAATCGCTATTAACCACTAGTAACCACTAGTAATCACTATTAACCACTAGTAACCACTATTAACCACTATTAGCCACTAGTAATCACTGATAACCACTATTAACCACTATTAACCACTAGTAACCACTATTAACCACTATTAGCCACTAGTAATCACTGATAACCACTATTAACCACTATTAACCACTAGTAACCACTATTAACCACTATTAACTATTAACCACTATTAACCACTAGTAATCACTATTAACCACTAGTAACCACTAGTAATCACTATTAACCACTATTAACCACTAATAATCACTATTAACCACTAGTAACCACTAGTAATCACTATTAACCACTAGTAACCACTAGTAATCACTATTAACCACTATTAACCACTAGTAATCACTATTGACCACTATTAAGCACTATTAACCACTAGTAATCACTATTAACCACTAGTAACCACTAGTAATCACTATTAATCACTATTAACCACTAGTAACCACTAGTAGCCACTATTAACCACTTCCCAGCCGTACCCTGCAATGAAAACTAGCCAAAGGTCAACGCAGGGCGTGGGCGTAGCCGAAGGTCCGTGTCGCAACCTAAAATGTTCGCTTATGGCTGCATTATATATCCGTGCATCTTCATTTGGGGATTCCAAATAATCATGACCACGCAAAATATGTTCAAACGTATGTTTTTTTTGCATAATGCAGCCAATTTTGCTTTGGACGACCAACTTGTTTTCTGCCATAAGGTACCCTAATGGCATTGTTTGGCTGAAAAGATATTTGGCGCATAGGGTCTTCTGGGCCTGCTCTTAAAACATGACCTAATAATTTGGATTTCCTGTGTAAACAAGATTGGCTGAACAATTCAAATTCCCGTTGGTCGCCTTGATTTGCGTAAAGAATCGCTGTACATCTTTGCAAAACGACTTTGTTGGAATTTTGTCGATCAATGAAAGTCGATGGGATTTTGAGGATTCTCCTCAAACACCGCATTTGGAAGGCATCAGTTTTCTTTAACATAGCACCCATCAAATGGATTGTTTCAAGACCGTACAACAATGTAGATCTGATCACCGCATCAAAAATAATCAACTGCCATTTGACATTTGCATGTGTTGCCTTCCAGTACGGCAAAAGTTTGTACCAAGCTTTCCGTACTTCCTGCATTTTGTTTAGGATTTTGTGTTGTATGTTGGCTTCGTTGTTAATCTCGTTTCCTAGGAAATTGTTTGGGGAGCGGTTCGTTGTTTTCGCAGTGGGCCATGCCATCATTGTTCATTTGGATTGCCACACACTTGTCTTTGTTGAGTCGCAGACCATATTAATCACTATTAACCACTATTAACCACTAGTAATCACTAAAAACCACTATTAACCACTAGTAATCACTATTAACCACTATTAACCACTAGTAATCAGTATTAACCACTATTAACCACTATTAACCACTAGTAATCACTTTTAACCACTAGTAACCACTAGTAATCACTATTCACCACTATTAATCACTATTAACCACTATTAACCACTATTAACCACTATTAATCACTATTAACCACTAGTAACCACTAGTAATCACTATTAACCACTATTAAGCACTAGTAACCACTAGTAATCACTATTAACCACTATTAACCACTAGTAGTCACTATTAACCACTATTAACCACTAGTAATCACTACTAACCACTATGAACCACTAGTAATCACTATTAACCACTATTAACCACTAGTAATCACTATTAACCACTATTAACCACTATCAACCACTATTAACCACTAGTAACCACTATTAACCACTATTAGCCACTAGTAATCACTGATAACCACTATTAACCACTATTAACCACTAGTAACCACTATTAACCACTATTAGCCACTAGTAATCACTGATAACCACTATTAACCACTATTAACCACTAGTAACCACTATTAACCACTATTAACCACTATTAACCACTAGTAATCACTATTAAACACTAGTAACCACTAGTAATCACTATTAACCACTATTAACCATTAGTAATCACTATTAACCACTAGTAACCACTAGTAATCACTATTGACCACTAGTAACCACTAGTAATCACTATTAACCACTAGTAATCACTATTAACCACTATTAACCACTAGTAATCACTATTAACCACTATTAACCACTAGTAATCACTATTAACCACTATTAAGCATTAGTAACCACTAGTAATCACTATTAACCACTATTAACCACTAGTAGTCACTATTAACCACTATTTACCACTAGTAATCACTACTAACCACTATGAACCACTAGTAATCACTATTAAATCTCATTCTTTTTTTCATCCCGTGAAAGATTCCCAGCTTGTCCCGTCAGCGATTAAATCTCAGCGGCCAGCTCCAAGAGCTGACCGCTCACGCTCTGAATTTCCAGCACCATGGAACGACGGCGACCGCGCTGTGGGAGATCGCTGTGGGAGAAATGGCTGAGGTCGAACATTGGAGGGATAAAAATACAATCATGTAAAGATTCCAAATCATTATTGGATCTAAGATTTGAGGCCAGATTTCCTTCCCCCTCATCTTGTATACCCCCCAAACGAAACGTTGGATTCGTCTAGGGTCAAATCATTTTCAGGTCCCTTATTGTGAATTTAATATTGGGGGATGGGATTAACATAATATCCAGCAACCCGTACTGGCTCTCAGCCCGGTAAGACTTGAGAGGAATAAAACTGAGGTGCATTTAGAAGAACTAGGAGCGAGTAAATGAGTAAATTGTGGAATGTTGGTCGCGAGCATTGAATCATGCGACCACCCTCAAATTTTATCCAATTTTGGGATATGCTTGGTCCAAAAACAAGAACTCAATGTGTTTGCTGGGTTTCATGAGGTCCAATCCACATCTTTGTTTTTGTACCCGTGAAACTCGCCTTACTAAAATTTGGACAGTTTCCCTTCTTAAAGCGACCATTTCGGGGGTATACCCCCCACTTTTGGTTGCTTATATCATATCTCATGATATCTAATTCTTTCATGTACCCTCTGGTAAACTAACATGACTATGGAAAATCACCATTTCTTCATGGGAAATTTCACTATAAATGGTGATTTTCCATAGTTATGTTCAATTACCTGAGGGTAGTCCAATATCCTGATTCTATCATATTGTAGCTTTAAATGACATGCCAGAGGTTCCCACTACATAGGCAACAAGGATAGTTCCTTAGGGGTCCCCCCATTTTTGTTTGGATAACTACAAACGAGCCATGACAATGATCCCTATCCCATTAAAGGTGTGTAAAATGGGTAATGGGTTGTTACAGTGAACATCAATCAACCCAATAAACCACTTAGTGTCCAGTAACCCCCTTTGTTAAACAACCAACAGAGTATTTCGAATTTATCAAATGACCAAATCTCCTCTAGATTTCCGCTCCTTCGCCCGTGAACCTTGGGCGCGTCCAAAATGGGTGAGGTCAGCTGCAATAGTGGGACTATGATGTGATATGATGCCATGTGATGTGTGATACGATGTCTTGTGTGACATGATCTGCAGAAATGTGGGGTGCAATCAGGAAAATGTCTTGTATGACCTGGACAACCCGCAGAAACTGGAACATCACCGTACCGCTGCGCATGGAAGTGGCATCAGCAAAAAAGTGGCTTCAAAACCAAAAGAGGATCCGCTACAGCTCACATGCTGGATGGTTCGTTTGCCTGTACAATTGTAAGTGTGGATCATCCAGATTTTGACCTGTTCTCACATGTTGATACATGTTGTGAAATTGGCAGAGAGCCCCTGTGACAACACGTGTGTCAATCTCAAATTTGTGACACCCTGAAATTTAATGTGTCCCTCTCATTGGTCTACCTGGTGCAACTGTTCACAACGCTGGCTCCCAAATGTAGAGGACTTGAGAGAGAGAGCTCAGCCAAGCATGCTAAGCATGCTATGTTTCAATAATAGCATTCCTGGGTACCTCGATGTCCCATTGTCGGGTGCATGCCCTTTATTTTGACCACCATTTCCCCACTGAAATCTGGTGGATGTGGGCGGTTTCAACCCATCTCAAGAACATGATTCAGTCAAGTGTAATACTCATCCAGGAGAGGATGGAAGATCGAACTACGTATTGGAAACCTCCAGTCACTATGACTCGTCATTCAGTGGTACCCCTGGCAAGAATGTTTGACCCGTGGACAATTACTAATCGTGTTGGTATACCCAGATTGTGTGCGGCGTCTAAATCCCAATGTCCCTTCTTTGTTGTTGGTGGCTAAACCTATTTTCCTTAAGTCAATGAGTTGTGTTTCGCATCCCCATTTCTCATCATTTCTCCATTTTCTCCCTATTTTTTGCTGATGAATCCCCAACCTTGGACAGCTCCTATCACAGCTCCTGTGTTTGTGGTCCCGACTCCTCATCTAACTCCAC